ACTGGTCTTGACGCGGATACGTGATCTCTGTGCCGACCTCAGGGGATACGTTCCAAAGGGCCATTTTCTGCGGGTCCGTACCCATGAAGGCCGCGTGGTACGCAAAGACCCTTTTGACAGAAATGTTTAAAAAGTGGTGTGTTTCCTATGAATCCGCAAGAGCGCGCGGAAGGACATTTTGACATTTTTTTCTTAAAAAACCATTGGGTTTTTGATGTTTTTATGTTAAAATCGTTACGAAACCTAAGGTTTTGGAAGGATTTCGTCTTGCGAGCGCGAATTTCCACTTTACCTTATTTTTTGCAAGGGATTCCACTTTACTTATTTTTTGCAAGGGATTCTTGAAATTTAATCAACTAAGAACAAGAATTTTCATTTTCTATTGTTTTTTGCAAGGGAAAACGAGCGTCAACAAAAAACCGGATCCGGGGGTAATCCACTTTTCTGAAGCTTTCGCCGAAAAATGATGAAAATGTAGCTGCGGCCTAGGTTTTGGGCGGGGGGCGTGCACCAGGGGGTCCAACAATAATAATTCTTTAGAAGTAATAGTGTTCAACAACAACAACTACTACTACTACTACTATTACTACTACTTCTACTACTACTACTACTACTACTACTACTACTACTACTACTACTATTACCACTACTACTAATACTACGACGACAACAACAACGACAAACAATGACAATAACCATAATCATATCAATGCTGCTCGCTCTTATCTGCTCGCGCGTACCTCACAGCGTCTATCCCAAACCCCCGATGCCCATCTTCATCTTAGATCGTACCCCCTCTGGGGGGGTACATCTTCCTAAAAAAATTTCTAAAAGAGCAAGAGGAGTGAGAAAGGAGAGAGAGAGATGAGCCCGAACAAGCATTTCGAGCCCTCGGCCCCGAGAAGCTCCCAGGAGGCCCCCAGGAAGACCCAAGGAACCCCCAAGAGGATCCCAGAGGTCACTCTGCCCCATGTCAGCGTCGTCGTCGCCGCCGACTCCGACGTCGTGGTCGTCGTCCCTCATCAGAGTCGGCGGCACCGGCCGTAAGGCCATCCAAATACGTAAGCACGATAAGAACGCAAAGACCTTGGAAGGGCATTCCGACACTGTTCGACCGGGCGCCGCCAGCGAAAATGGCAAAGGATTGGCCAAAGGGGAAGGGTGCAAGGGCAACCTAGGAATATTGCTCGTCCGTACTATGCGCACTGACTGTATAGGTGCGACGGCGCGAACACAACCATCGACTACCTACATCGCGCACCGCAGTCCTACCTCCACAGCGGCAACGATTCTTCTCACCCTTTATGGGCCTCCCCCGCCGCCCACCCCGCTAACCTTCTCCTCTCTCGACCCTTGCGGACGGAGGGGACGGGGGATCATTATTGCGTTCGGGGTGATGGAGCGGAAGTCTCGCCGACGGCCGTCCCGGCTAGGGCCAAGGCCGCCGCAGCCACTAGCCGCACACCGCCGACCAACGTCGCACTGCCTCGGGCAACCCTGCATGCGCCTGCCCAGCACTCAGCTTCCCGCCAACTGTCCAGCATCCTCTCCCTGGCCGCTGCCACCATCCTTTGCGTCTGCCTACAAGCGCCAACCTCAGCCTACTTCTCAGCGCAGCCGACATAATGGGGAAGCGTGGGGTTGGGGAGGGTAGCATAGGAGTTGGGAGGGCCACTCCACTGGCCGCCGCCAAGGGTGGCGTGAACCTCCCCTCCCCGAGTAGGCATTCCCCGAACCATTCCCTGCTCAACCCGTGGGCATCCTCTATCCGCCTCGGTGGGTAGCGGGTACCCTGGGAAAGTCGGGGAGCGGTTTCGTGGGAAGCCCCATGGTGAGAGGGGAACCCCACGCCACCCCACTTACGGCAAAGGCGGCCGTGGCCGACTGGCCGTCCGCTGCCTCAGCCGCACCTGAATGATCTGCAAATGCCGGCAAGCCCGCCCCAAATCTCGCACGCCAGCTTCTCCATTCAGTCCCGACTCTGTGCACCTCGACCTCCTGCCACCTTGCCGCCAAGCCCACACGTTCGTCGCAACGCCGCCCGCACCTCTTCCTCTCCCTCGCTCCCTTCTCCTTCAGGTTACGCTGCCCTCCGTCGTCGCCGTGCTCCGCCCCTTCTGGGGGGCCTCCCCCGCCTCCGTGGCTTCCACTCTACACGTCGATACAAAACTGGTTCCACCAGCCCTTTGGGCGCTGGTGGTCTAGAGCGTTTCCTCTGTTACCCTTCCTGCTTCCCCTTCGGGGAGGGGCTTATCACTGTTCCCTATTAGTATACACCCCCTCCCCCCGGCGACTGGGAGCCAACCAGGGACAATGAGGCACCCCCACCATCCCTTGTAAAAAAACGTACAAACCACACTCTGCCTCCAAATTCAGAGCATGCGCAGTGAACCCGATGCGGCCTACCCCCACCATCCCTATCAAAAACAATACAGAGTACACTTGGCGGCGGCGGCGGCGGCGGCGGCGGCTGCGGCGAAGGCAGCGGTTGCGGCGGCTGCGGCGGCAGCGACGGCGGTGGCGGCGGCGGCGGCGGGGGCGGCGGCGGCGGCGGCGGGCGGCGGCGGCGGCCGGCGGCGGCGGCGGCGGCGGTGGCGGTGGCCGCGGGCGGCGGGCGCGTGGGGGCGGCGGCGGCAGCGGCTGCGGCGGCGGCGCGGCGATGGCGGCGGCGGGGCGGCGGCGGTCAGCATCCTTGCGGCTGCGGCGGCGGCGATTCGGCAGCGGGGGCGACGGCGGCGGTGGCGGCGGCGCGGCGCGCGGCGGCGGCGGCGCGGACGGCGGCGGCAGGCGGCGCGGCGGCGGCGGCGGCGGCGGACAGCGGCGGCGGCAGCGGGCGGCAGCGACGGCGGTGGAGGCGGCGGCGGCGGCGGATTCGCCCCCAGTAGATGCCGATCCAAAGACGACAGCTGAATATGCTGCGGCTCGGGCCAGGCTCGGATGCTACGTATATGTTGGGAGGGCGGGTAGGAGTGAGCGAGATGGCTTGCGGGCGGGGAGAGTCTTGACCCCTCCCCCTACCCCCATCCCCTGGACCTGGACGGAGGGTTCCGCGACGCGTTGGAGCGTCCCAAACGGCCTCGGCGAGGAAGCCAAAATCATTGGTGTTACTAGGGTTTGGGACCCACGTGTGCCTCCTGAGGGGGGAGGCTAATTTCGCCCCTCCCCTCCTGTGATCGATCTCCTCCAAGATGGCATCAAGAGGCGCCCAGGAGGCCCCAAGAGGCCCCGAGATGGCCCCAAGATGTGCCCATGTGGCCGCGAGAAGCCCCCAAGAGGCCCCCACCCCAGGATGCCCCCAAGAGGCTCCCAAGAGACCCCCAAGAGGCCCCAAGAGGCCCCCCAGGGGCACCCAAGACGCTCCAAGAGGCCTCGGCGAGAATGGCAAATTCATTGATTGTACTAAGGTGTTGGCCCACATTTGAGCCTCCTGAGGGGGGCACTGCTGCAAATGACTCCAAGAGCGCCTGGGAGAGCCCAAGATGACCTCCAAGATGGCTCAAGGTATCCCAAGATGCCTCAAGATAGCTCACACGACGCTCCAAGAGGCCCCAAGACCGCTTCAAGACGACTCCAAGTGGCCAAAGAGCTCCCCGAGGAGGCCCCGAAGAGGCCAAAACCCTTCCAAAACCTTGCGAAAATCCATGTGTTGGGCTTTCTCGCCTTTTCGCTTCCGATGGCCATTCGAGGCTTCACGATGACTCCAAGATGGCCCAAGAGGGCTCCAAGAGCGCTACCAAGGCTCCCAAGAGCGCTTCAAGAGGGCCCCAAGAGGCGCCCAGGAGGCCCCAGGAGGCCCCAACAGGCGCCCAGGAGGCCTCCAAGAGGCTCCGAAGAGACCCCCAAGAGGCCCCAAGAAGCTCCGCGAGGCACCCAAGACGCTCTCAGAAGCGTCGGGGACCACCAAGAGGCCCCCAAGACGCTCCGAGAGGCCTCCACTGGGGGACCCTTCCTTTGTGTGCTGCCCACTTCCCTGATCGAGGCAAATCCTCTGGGCATCGTTTCTGGATGGGCTGGTGGGGTTACTTTTGTTTTGATCGGCGGCCCGCAAGGAAGAGTCCAGAGGGCATGTCAATCGGGCTGACTGGGGCACAGAGCCAGAACTGGTGGGGTTACTTTTTTTACGGCCGCAGGCGGAAGCGCCAGCGGCGGCGGGTCACGGTCGGGTTGCGGCCGTGACGAATTAGCCGGGCGCGCGCGGGGGCCGCGGATCAGGCGGCGGTGCAAACTGCAGCCCAGGGAGTCTGAAGGGAAACAGCCACCCAGGAAGCAGGGAGGACGCGGCCAAAATGGCGCGACGCACATCCCCAGTCATGGATCGTGTCGGTCCGACAACCACAAGGTAGTGGTGATCAGTCTCCGTGCGTGAGGGGTGTCAGAGAGCCCAGGGTGTCTGTCGGGTATGAGCGAGACCGTAGGCAAAAGAGCTGACGTCGTCCAGCAGGGAGAAGGGTCTCTGACAGCGCCAACGAACCGTCGCAGCTTCAGAGAACGCATCCAGCGGCTGACAGGGTACGCCTGAATCATTGACAACCGGGAAAACTGGTGGGGTTACGCGAAGCGTCAAGAATTTGATCACCCGCCAAAGGGCAACTGCCCATGGGGGGGCGGCAACGTCGAATTTCGACCTTCATGCCGACAGCGACAGCAAAAGGAGGACGAGGAGGAGGAGCATGGGGAGGAGGAATGGAAGAGGAGGAGGAGGAGGAGGAGCAAAAGGATGATGGAGGAGGATGGAGGAGGAGGATGGAAGACAAGGAGGAGGAGGAGGAAGAGCAAGGGGAGGAGGACGAGCAGGCGGACGAGCAGGGGGAAGAAGAGGAGGAGAAGGAAGAGGAGGAGGAGGAGGAGGAGGAGAAGAAGACGCAAGGGGAGGAGGAGCAGGGAGGAAGATGGAGGGAGGAGGCAGGAGGACGAGGGAGCAGGGAGGTGGACGGAGGGGAGAGAGGGGAACACGAGGAGAATGAAAGACGAGGACGGCCAGGGCGACGGCGGCAGCCGGCCTGCGCAACCGCGCACGAGTGCCGCGCGGCGCCCCAGGCACGCCGCCGCCGCGCGCGCCCGCGCCGCAGGAGCCCTGCGGGCTGGGTCGGAAGGGCTGGATCGAACGAACGAACGAACGAACGCGCGAGTCGCCCCTGCAAAGGGACGGGCCTGCTAGCGGCCTGCGCTGGGCGGCCGTGGCGACTCACTCTGTCAGCCTGTCGAACTCCTTCACAGTGACCCCGGGAAGCAAACAGTAAACCCCCAGGCGATATCGCTAGCACAGAAAATAATAATAAAAAAAATGTTGGACGGCGCCCTCCGGCGATATCGTTAGCACATTAAACATAACATAAAATGATTAATTAATTTGCCCCCCGGGCCGGCAACGTGAGGCGACAGCCTGAAGAACCAATGCGCACGAACGCTTGCCAATGGGTTCCCGCCTTGCTAGAACACTAAAAAACTGACGCAATTCGGAAATCAAACGTAAATCAAAAATGACAAACAATGGAATCACCGCCAGTAGCTATACTTGAAAGGACCCCCCAAAGGAATCCAAGAGGAATCTCAGAAGGAAGCCCACGCAGAATCTCAAAGGAACCCTACTGGAAATTCAAAGTAATCTCAAAGGAACCCCACAGAAATCGCAAAGGCATCCCAGCGGCAGCTCAAACGAACCACGAAGGAATCTAAGGAATTTGGAAAACGCGGGCTCGCGTGGACATAAGCAATCCCTGTTGCGGCCGCACTAAGGAAATTGATTATTTCAGGGGATCCTATGGGAGAGTCCACGGAGAGATATCGCAGACGGATCCCGCGAACCCCCCCGCGATATGTTAGCACATTGATTGAAAATAAAATAATCCACCGGCCCCGGATGTCGATGTGATGCTCCCTTCAAGGATTGTCGAAGGAATGTGAGAGGAACTTGAAAGGACCCCCAAAGGAATTCCATAAGAATCTCACAGGGAATCCCACGCATAATATCAAAGGAACCGATGGAAGTTCAAAGCAATCTCAAAGGAGCCCAACAGAAATCGCAAAGGCATCCCAGCGGCAGCTCAAACGAACCACGAAGGATTCTAAGGAATTTGGAAAACGCGGGCTCGCGTGGACATAAGCAATCCCGATTGCGGCCGCACTAAGGAAATTGATTACTTCAGGGATCTATGGGAGAGTCCACGGAGAGATATCGCAGACGGATCCCGCGAACCCCCCCGCGATATGTTAGCACATTTATTGAAAGTAAAATAATCCACCGGCCCCGGATGTCGATGTGATGCTCCCTTAAGCAATGGGGCATCAAAGGGATATGACCGGAACCTCAAGGGACCCCCAGAATAACATCAAAGGAACACCAGAGGAGTCTGAAAGGAGCCCCCAAAAAATCACAATGGAAACGGCAAAGAATCTCAAAAGAAGCCAATCGGAGTATCAAGGGAATCTATGAGGAATCTCACAGAAACGCACAGAATCACAGGAAGCGACTCTGGGCAGGTGTGCCTTGTCGCTGGGCTCTGGACTACAAGGCGACCGGGCATTCAGAGGCTTGTGGAGGCCTTTCTGGATGCCTCCTGGGAACCTCCGGGGACCTCCCCTCCGCGGACCTCTGGTGACCTGCGGGGGATATCGCTTCCGCCCCCGCCCCGGTGCCGGAAGCGTCATAATTTCCTCTGATGAGGGGGGGGGGGAGGGGGGGGGTACTGATTGCTTCCCAGGTGCTCTCCAGAAATATTGACCAAACACCTCTCATGCAGATACCGCAAGGCCTTGCTCAATGCTGTCGTAAGCGCCGTGACGTCTTCTTGGTGTCCCTGTGCTGTGGGCCGCTAGCTTGTTGGGAGCGGGGCCGGAAGAGAGGGATCGGGTCGGGCGACGGAGGCCCTCGCCATCGCAAGGGCTGGTCGGGAGGGGCTGGATCGATTCTTCGCCACGAGAGAACCAGGTCCTGACGGAAATGGCTCCGCCAATTTTTCGCCGCGTTTGGCTTCCCGGTGCCCTCCACGGGTCCCAGGGCGTCCAGAAAACAACAACTCGGGTTCCTGGGGAAAGGGGTCCGAGGTGTGAATGGGAGGGAAGGGTCAGAGAGCCAACCCTACCAGTGATCCATATGATGGAGATGACTGATGTTTCTCGTCACACGGGAAGGGGCAATCGAACGTCAAAAACTGGGCCGAAGGGGCAGCGGATGAGGAGAGGAAGCAGTAGCAGAAAGGGTATACACACATAGGAGGGGCTGGATCAGATCGGCCGAAAGGGGAAAGGAGTAAACAACTCCAAAATCCCACCAGCTCTCTGGGCGACAGGTGGTCTGACAATGCCTTGTTTCCCTTTCCAAAAACCCTTCTTCCCCTTCTGGAAGGGGTTTATCATTGTTCCCAATTAATAAACACCCCCTCCCCCACCCGGCCGGCAGCCAACCCGGAACCAGGCGCACACCATGAGGGCCCCCCCCCACCATCCTTGTCAAAAAAGGATACCAAACGCACATTGCGGGGCCCACCCTGCAAACACCCTCCACAATTCCTGTCAAAAACCTAACGACATGCACATTGCAGTAAAATCTGGACAGTGCGCTGGCGCCCTGTGACCACGTTGCACTTGTGATTTGAAAAAAAGGTGGCGGGGCACTCTCAGTGAAGCCGCTTTGTGCAGGACAACCATCCATGTCAAGAACAATGTAAAGTGCACTTTGCGACAACGTCGTAGGTTTTGTGCAGGCCACCCGCGATCACGTTGCATTGTTGTTTGACAACGACGGCGGTGGCGCCCGCATGATGATGCTTACTGTGCGCAGGCCCAAGAAAATGTTGACGCCCCCCCCCACATCAGCATCTGAACAATGCGGGCGGGGGGGCATCACGTTTTCTACAAGGATGGCACACCAACCGCATGTGGGACCCGCGGCGAGCGTCGCGCACCTGACGTCCGTTTTGGTCCCCAATGGCTGTCCATCCAGTGGCGACCCCTGGCTATGCCGAGACTCGGATGCCACTTATGTGGTGGGAGGGCGGGCAGGAGTGAGATTGACAGCTTGCGTGCGCAGAGGTTGTGTTGACCCCTCCCCCCAGCCCCTCCGCTGGACCTGGACGGGAGGGGCCGCGATCGGTTGGAACGTCCAAAATCGGCCCCTGAGAGGGCCAATGTTTGACACCAGTCACCAGGATCGTGGCACCCGAGGGGGGGGGCCTCAATCGGGTGCCTCCCTCGTTTGATCGGTAGCCTCGAAGATGGTCCCAAGAGGCGCTCCAGGGCTCTCAAGAGAGTCCCAAAAGAGCCCCAAGAGGGCTCCAAGAGGGTCCCAAGAGGGCCCCAGGGGGCACCCGAGAAGCCCCCGAGCGGTCTCGGAGAGCCCAAGATGACCTCCAAGATGGTTCAGATAGCCCAAACTGGCTCAAGATGGCCCCCAAGATGCTCCAAACGGCCCCAAGACCCAAGACCGCTCCGAGAACGCCCAAGAGCGCTTTTAGAAAACCCCAAGAAGCGGTTTGCCAGCTCCTGGCGGGGGGGAGCTGAGTTGGGGACCCCCCCATCCTGTAACCGATGGCCTCCAAGAAGATCCCAAAAAGCCTTCCAGGGTTACCAAGAAGGTTCCAAGAGGGCCCCCAAGCTCCCAGGGATCACCAGCAGAGGCAGCAGCCGCAAGAATACATCTAGATGGTTCCATGAATCGTCGTCCGCGCCATCTTCCTCCTAGAGTTCGTCCTCCTCCTAGAGTTCGTCGTCCTCATCCGCGTCCTCGTCCTCCTCATCCTCCTCGTCCTCATCCTCCCCCTTCCCCCTCCTCCCACTCCTCCTCCTCTTCCCCCTCCTCCCC